TTGGTGAATATGAAATATAAAATATAATGTCCACTCTTCTGATCACAATGAGGGAAAAAATCATTCTTCAATATTTCAATTCTCATGCAATGAAATCCAAAGGTCTGTTGAATCCACCTTTTCGATTCATGTATTGCCTATGACAAGAAGAAAAAAATTCAATGTTTATTTTTAAAAATTCTTAATTTCTCGTACAAAAATAATCACATGCTTCAGAGAATAAACCTATAAATCACCTTTAAGGTAGCAAAGTTCAGGGTAAGAAGTATTCAAGATTACTTAATGTACATTAAGAAAAGACTACTTCATTTCAGGGGAAAAAGGGGAAGGATTTACAGGAACTAGTATAAAGGACACATGGACAACAACTAAGGGGGTGGAAATGGAAGGGAGGTGGGGGGCACAGTGGGGTGGGCTGGGATGGGAGTAAAAGACAGAATACTGTAGTTGAAAAATAATTTTAAAAAAAGACTACTTCACTTTCAACATAAGTCAAAGTATTTTAGATTTCCATAAAATCCCCCCAAAAAAAAAAGGAAATATACTTTCAAAACTATTTGGGAAGGTTCCACAGGCTTTTAAAAAATGAACCGAAAATCCTTACTTATTCCAAATAACACTAAACACCTAGTTTAAGGAAAGAGAGCAGAGTTCCAAAACAGGTGCCCATCAAGTAAATCCAACTGCACACTGTACTAGTTTTCTCCATAAAACTTTATTTTTTTAATCTGTGATTTTATTTTTAATCATTTTAAGCCTATGATCACGTAATGAGCATTCTGTGTTGATGATCTATTCTCCTCTACTTTAATCCATCTATTGAGTTGGCTAAAGTACCATTACCAATCACACACACATATAGTAATTCTACAGTTGTTTTTGAATAGCTGTTCAAGACAATCCTGAATTACAACTTTGACTTCAAGAATTCACAAAGTTTGCTACTCCACTTTGCCACACTGAATTTTAAAAGCATCTGACCTTACAGATCATCTTCAAAATGTGAAGTGTTAAATATTCTTCATCTGATATTATACATGAACCACACTAAAATGCCTTTCATTAGGTAAAACACAACAGCTTAAATACAGGAAATTTTAATTAAATTAGCACAGTTCGGACCAAAAAGATAAAACGGACACTGTAAGCTTATCTTCAGCCCTTGACTTTTAACAGGCTAATGAACACAATTTGAAACACAAGTGAGTCCTGCCGTTTTGAGAAATAGAGAAGGGATTTCCTCAGTATTTAAACATGTTAGTATAGCCAGTTACAGAAATCTAAATATAAAACCAATCTCCTACAGGTTTTGAGATGGCATTCACCATCTCTGTGAAAAGTTGAACATAGAATCAAGTCCAACCGCCTTTTTAGAAGGTGAAAATAGTGATAGAATTTGGTGAACCAAAATTACCATCAAAGTACAAAAAGCTGATCATATTCATTTAACTACAAGCCCATCTTATTTAAATCAGAACTGCCCAAAAGAAATGTTCTATTCACGAGCTGAATGCTGATATATGAGACCAATGTAAATATAGTACATGTAAAAAAGGTCATGAGACATTTGTAATAAATAAGGCAGTAGTGAACTGTTACTCATTAGTTGCTTTTTAAAAGATAAGCCATCAAGTCTTCACTTTCTGTACTTTTCTTTTTTCCCCCCTGTACTTTTCTTAATGCCAGTGAAGATAATTTTTGTTCCAGGGATATACTTGATGGGATTCTCCAAGTACTCCATACGTGCAACCTCTCCCCAGGTTATGTCTTTGTTCTTGTTGGCATCGCGTAAGAAAATCCAGGGGCCTGACATGTCTTTTGCCCAAACAGACCATGGAGATTTGGCCCAGTCTTGTGCCTGCTTCCCTTCTCCACAGTATGGCATTGGGCTCACTGTTGAACAAAAATCTTCTTGCCCTTCTCAACACCACCCATTTTAAAACCACTCTTTGTTGCACACAAGTTTGTTCCCACTCCCAAACTTGATGTCTTGTTCTTTCCCTAAAATTTTATTTGAAGGCAACTTTACAAAGGAATAGCAATGATGATTCTGGTTCCTTAACTCACAGCATTCTTAAAACACATTATTCATTTTCTAAATTAACTGGAATGTTAGTCTCTTATCAGTAATAAAGATAGAGGGGATGTTCAAAGCTGTCTTGACTTTTCCATTCATCAGGATTTCACTCAGATTTCAACTATGAATTGGTTTGTCCTGTGGTATTAATAAAATCTCTGTACTTAACAGAAGAATGTATTTACAGCTGAAACCCTTACATAACCAATGTAAGTAAGTAATTCAGGGGGGATGTATTTTAAGTCTATAATTATAATGAAATTAAAACCTAAAGCCTTTTTTTAAAATGGCGTTTTAAAGAAAGATCTATACAGTCCTAAAACATTAAGCCAACTATCCTTCTTTATAATAATTATTAGTTCACACGTAAATTGGAAATTAACACACCAGACTGTAAGGAAGGAAGATTCAAACAAGGGACTGTATGGAAAACTGCTACATTTCCTACAAACACAACTATCCCATAATAAATTCTTTCCCAAGCACATAATTTATATCATCAGTTCAAACTTAATAATGGGGGTTAGCATACCTGTACTTCCTCTTCTGAGACACATTTATGGCATAGGCATTTACAGAGCCATCCACCTTTTTTCCCTGGAGAAAAGCAACAAACAAATATAAAAAACAGAAGGATATATTAAATGTCTTAATTCAAAGAGCTGGACCCTACAGACATACTTAAATGAAAAGATGCATCTAAGAATGAGGTAGTCCAATAAGAGAAAGAATTTTCAGATGCTAATGATATCCCATGAGCTCCCAAGTGTTACAATTTTGTTCACCTTTTTAGAGTCACATTTACGCAAATAATACAATATTCAAACCCACAAACATTCAAGGTTTATATATTATGTGTAAGGTATGCAGGGAAATAGAGTAGCAAATCCTAACCTTTTTTGGTCAAAAAATTATTTGAAAGCCCTGGCTGGTGTAGCTCAGTGGACTGAGCATAGGCCTGGGAACCAAAGGATTTCGGTTGGATTACCAGTCAGGGAACACGCCTGGGTTGCAGGCCAGTTCCCAGCAGGGAATGCACGAGAGGCAACCATACACTGATATTTCTCTCCCTCTCTCCTTCCCTTCCCCCTCTAAAGATAAATAAATAAAATCTTAAAAAAAAATTCTTTGAAACCACATACAAGTTAAGGATAGTTTATCTAGAAAAATTCTTGTTCTCAAATCACGGCTGGATCAGTCACCATTTACCTAGATCCCATTCATTGCACAGGCCTTGTCATTTGGATTTTTAAATAAAAAATCAGAACACAGAAAACCAGATGATAACGTTGAGTGTCACTTGTATCTTGGCCTTTTCTCATGTGGCATCTATACTGTTTTTCATGAATTCTTTTGATTCAGCTGAGTTAACTCACTAACTCACCACTTGCTGTTCATCATGCCTGATCACCATCCCACCTCCCATCCAATCTTCAACTATCTGGTTCTTATACATAGTTCAAGGCCCAATTCAAATGACCCAGCTGGCAGGGACTCTCTTCTCTAGCTCCCACAGAATGTTAACTGGGCTTTCCTCACAATATCTTCCACGTTCCAACCTGCGTCACCATGATGTACAGTATATACTTCGTGTTATTTCTCCTATGAGATGGAAAGTTTCTTGATGAAGGGATATGACTGTGAGTCACTTTTGCATTCCCACATCTTAGGCCACTGAACTTGCAAGTGCTCAGAAAATGATTTTAAGTGTGTGAGCATCAGTGGTTGCTTTCTCTCTCTCTCATACACACACACACACACACACACACACACATACATACATACATACATACATATACAACCCTCAACCTCCTTCTTCCCCTACTGTTCCCCTCATGGGAATGTACCCTTATCTGTGTAGCACACTTATTAGATACCTGGGTTAAGAATACAAAAAAAGGATTCTTACTCACTGGCCTACAAGCATGTACAAATGAGGTACATATATGAAGTGGAGCTAAAATAAATACATTTGGTCTTAATTTTCTATTCCTGTTTTCACTACATTTTTGGGAAGGGGAGAATATTGGGTAAATTACTTGAGGTGTATGATTTTGACATCTAAAGAACTGGAGGTGGGCATGAGTTGGAAAGACTAACTTGCAAAAAAAGTAAATAATGCTAATCTTTTACTAAGTTCAATTGCTAAAGTCTTAATGATTTTTAAAAAACTATTTGTGGAATTGTATATTAATAGCCCTATTTTACATGATGCGATAAAAAATTATCTGTTAATATAAGCTTTGAATTTTTCTAAAATGTTAAAATGGAAGGGAAAATAAGTGACTACACTGGCATTTTAATTAAAAGGTCCCACAATAGATCTATGATGAAATATAACAAGATACACATTGCTAAAAAACACAAATGAGCTTATAACTGGTAGTCATTTGAAGCCAACTGTATATAAGCTAAATTAGCATTCCTGTAGATGCCATTAAAAAACAACTGATATCATCTGTTCTGATAGTACTCAATAATTTTTATGGGATCTATAAATTTTCACTTAATTTTTCCCTTATAAACAAACATCTTCAGTATAGACTACATTTTAAAGCAAGTAAGACTTCATCTTTACATCTGATTCTCAGGAATTTCAAACACTGTGCAATAGTAATCCCACCCCACAAAAAAGAAAATAATTCTGGTAAGTTCCCTCTCTATTCTTCTAAGAACAATAAAATAAATGTTGCTTTACCTCAGAGATATTATTATGAATCCTATATACAGTAGTAAATAGTTTCACTTGGAAAATACTCTTTGGAAAACAAATATTCAAGGGAACAAATGCTGACACATAAATGACATTAAATTCCAACATGGGATTTCATTCTCACATAACCATTTGTAAGAATAAGAGCTCATTCTTAATTTTCTCACTTCAAAACAGCCATGCCTTAGTTATACAGTGTCTTTTTTGCCAGGGGAGAATGCAAATGCAGTCTCCTATTCCCACAAAGTATGCAGTTGGTTTTCCACATTTGGGGAAATCACAGGGGTCAGTACGTCTGGAGTGCAATGGATAAGGCTCACCCTGGGAAAACCACCTTCATGATCATGGTATCTTCCCTGCCAGGTAAGTAGGGAGGGAGAAAGAATGGGAAAGAAAAACAATAATGTGTGAAAGAAACATACATCGGTTGTCTCTTGCACGCACCCAACTGGAGACCTGGCCCACAACCCAGCCATGTGCCCTAATGGGAATTGAACAAGAGACCATTTAGTTTGCAGGCTGGTGTTCAATCCACTGAGCCACACCAGCCAGGGCAATGTCATCGTTAAAACAAAACAAAACAAAACAAAACAAAACAAAAGACAAAACAAAACAAAACAAAACAAAAACAAGTGCACCTGACACAATCACATTGGTTAGAAACTCTTACAGCATGTAAAATCACACCACTCCATTCACAACTCAATGGAATACAAAATTAGGGCAAGAGGATTATTTTTCTTTAAAATCTCAATTTCCATTTACAAAACTAAACAGACATAAAATTCTAGAAAAGAAAAAGTTTTTAAAATATATTTTCTCTCCACACACACATGGGCTAGTGGCTACAGTGAGGCTGGAAATAGAAGTAGAAAGCAAATCATGGAGGGGCTTTTGCCACTCCCAGCCATTTTTATATCCTTACTAGCCCCCTTTTTTCCTCCTCCCCTTTCCATCTCCTCTCCCCAACTCCCCTCTCCCATATTTCTCTCTTTAGCCGTATCTCTCTGTCTCTACTCTCTCCCCTCTTCCTCCCTATAACTGACTTTATGCTGTTCCACAATCCCTCCCTTTTAAATCCTCCATTTCCTTATTCTTACCAGTGTTATGCTGAAGGCTAGACAGCATTCAATCTCCAATCCACCCTCTTCTGAGCTGTGAGGGATGTGTGCAGCTACCCAATGTCATCTTTACCTGGCTGCTGCTTTCCCTCTTCTGTTTCCCAGCACTTCCCCTTCCCATAACCCTTTCTTGGATAACCCTACCACCCAGTCCTTCAGCCTGTCACCTTAGAGTCATCACCGACTGCTCGCTTCCACTCCTACCACCATTAACTCTGGCTCCTGAATGGTTCTCAACATCCCAGCCCCTCCTGTCAGTTCAGGCTTTCACCATCTTTCACTTGCACAACTCGGCAGTCCTCCCTGAATCTCTAATCTAACCTGCCTCCCATCTGTGTTCCAATACTGCCCTGGGTCATCTTTCTAAAACACACATACAATCCTATCTCTCATTTTCTTAAAAATTACCGCTTTCTCTCAACACCTAAAGAATCAATTCTAAATTCCTTAACATAGCTGGGAGTAGCAAAAGCCCCTCCATGATTTGCTTTCTACTTCTATTTCCAGCCTCACTGTAGCCATTAGCCCATCAGCATTCTTTTACCACTCACTAAATTTGAAATTCCCACAATACACCATGCTCCTTCATGCCTACATGGCATTTTCATGAGCTCTTCCTTTCACTTCAAATGATTTTCCTCCTATTTTTCGTACTGGCCCTTTAAGACCTAATTCAACATCATCCCAGGCAAACACTTCCTGGATTCAAACAGCACCTCACTGTTTCTTCTTCACGCTTTCAAAGCCCTTCGTAGAGAAAATTATTGTCTTTTAACTGAACAAACTTATAACGGTGCAAGAAATTACACTAGTGATAGTAAAGAATATGGAAGAATGGGACAGTCATAATGAATTAATTCAACTCAGAATGCTTAACGAGCTGCATATTTGACTTACTTTTGTGGAGTCAAAGGAGGCAAATCCCATTAACTTCATCATTTCTATTTCTTCCTCTGTTTTGCCCTCCAAGTCTTCCTCTGCAAAAGTAACTTATAATTTTTAAAACTCTTATCATTTCATATATAGGAGGAAAAGTGGTAATAGATTAATAGTCATTCTACCTTCCCAGCAGAGAATATATAAAACAATTAGCTAAATGCTTGAGTCTAACACAAAATAAATCCTCTTCAATTAGGGCAAAATATAACTTAAGGTGCAATGAAGGAATGTGCTCCCCACCTTCCACAGAAGAGACTGCTTAAAATGACATGGCTGAAGCCTTTAGGCAGGACCACCTTTAATATCAGACACAACACTTGTTTTGAAGGTACTTCCAAAATAGAATATGCTCACATTTTTAACTTTCCTTCCTATGTCAGGAGCATGACAGATAACCAGGAACTCACTAAAGTACAATTAAAAATCTCAAAACCATATGCGATGAACACTGTAAAAAACTTAACATATTTCAATGTTCAAAAATTATACAATTATCAAAATGACTGAAGTTATCTAAACAAGGCTGTACTCTTCCTACAGTTATTTACCAAATAACATTACCAGTAATCTGACGTTCTTTGCTTTTTGTTTCTTTTGCTTCTTTCTTTTCCTCATCTCTCCTTTCTTTCAGTCGAGAAGGGGAAGGAGATGTGGATCTATGTCGCCTTGGGGACCTAATATTTTAATAAGTGAAGAAGTCAGAAACAGAGACATACCTGGCCACTTGTGTCAATCAGCAGTGATGCACATGAGTGCCAGAAAGGTAAAGGCGGGACAAAAGCCAGGCTCCAGAGAACCAGAGGTTCAGTTCTTATAGAAGAAAAAGTTAGAAGGTTCTGCCTAGGCCCTGATAGTCAGCTAAGTTTTTTTTGTAAGGCAGAACAATGTAACTAAACAGTTTCTAACAATTACACATAAACACACAAAAAGTTGACTTAAACAGCAATTGATGCTTATTAAGTAAAAGGCGAAAGATTTATGCGATCTGAAGAGAAACCAGAGTACTGATGCTTATTAAGAATCAAGAATCCAGAGACTTCCGAACAAGATGGAGGCGTAGGTAGAAACACTGTACCTCCTCACACAACCAAGTTTAAAGACAACAAAGTTTTAGTAACAAAAACGCAACCAAAACACAGAAAATTGAACTGTACAACAACAATGAACCATTCAGCCAGACTGGTAAGAGGGATGGGATCAGTGGCTGGTGGAGCCAGGAAAAAGCAGCCAGACGGACCCAGGAGCACAGGTGGCGGCTGGCAGATCCCAGGTGTGAGGTGGCAACATGCGGACCCAGTGGGGACACGAGGTAGCTGGCTGACCATGGTCACACATTTGCATGCAAATAAACCAGGCAGAGGAGCGAGCAGTGAGACAGACCACGAAGGCTAGGACCCCAGTGACAGGAACTAAAGCCTAAAAGCACCAATTGGAAAAACTTTCAGGGGTGAGGTGTCTGGAGAACCTCCCAGGCTCACACAGAGTTTGTTGGAGAGACCCACAGGGATTGAAATCCCAGAGAGAGTGAGGAACAAATGCCACTGCCCCTCTCTGACCCCGCCCCCACATACAGCGTCACAATCCAGAGACTTGGGTCACCCCACCCTGGTGAACACCTAAGGCTCCACCCCTCATACGTAACAGGTGCGAACAGACCAAAACATAATGGCTCAAGAAGAACAGCTCAAAGCCCCAGAGGCGATACTTCTAAGCAACCAAGAGATAGCCAACCTATCAGATGCACAGTTCAAAACACTGGTGATCAGGATGCTCACAGAACTGGTTGATTTTAGTCACAAATTAGACGAACAAATGAAGGCTAAACTAACTAAAATGAAGGGAAATGCACAAGAAACCAATAGTGATGGAAAGGAAACTGGGACTCAAATCAAGGGAGTGGACCAGAAGAAAGAAAAAAATGACCAAACAGAAAAATATGAAGAAATAAGAATTCAAAAAAATGAGGAGAGGCTTAGGAACCTCCAGGACATCTTTAAATGTTCCAACATCCGAATTATAGGAGTACCAAAATGGGAAGAGAAACAGCAACAAGTGGAAAACTTATTTGAACAAATAATAAAGGAGAACTTCCTCAATCTGGCAAAGGAAATAGACTTCCAGGAAATCCAGGAAGCTCAGAGTCCCAAAGAAGTTGGACCCAAGAAGGAACACACCAAGGCACATCATCATTATATTAGCCAAGATTCAAATGAAGGAGAGAATCCTAGAAGCAACAAGAGATAAGGGGACAGTCATCTACAAAGGAGTTCCCATCAGACTGTCAGCTGATTTCTCAAAAGAGACCTTATAGGCAAGAAGGGGCTGGAAAGAAGTATTCCAAGTCATGAAATCCAAAGACCTATATCCAAGATTGCTCTATCCAGCAATGCATTCATTTAAAATGGAAGGCCAGATAACGTGCTTCTCAGATAAGGTGAAGTTCAAGGAGTTCATCATCACCAAGCCCTTATTATATGAAATGTTAAAGGAACTTATCTAAGAAAAAGAAGATAAAAAACATGAACAGTGAAAGGACAGCAAACTTACAGTTATTAAGAACCACAGCTAAAACAAAAGCAAACTAAGAGGACAGCTAGATCAGGAGTGGAAACATAGAAATGAAGATCTCAAGGAGGGTTAGCAACAGGGGAGTGGGAGGAGGAGAAGGGGGGAGAAGGTACAGAGAATAAGTAGCATAGGTGGTAGGTAGAAAATAGGGGGGGAAGGCAAGAATAGTAGGGGAAATATAGAATCTAAAGAACTTGTGACACATGGACATAAACTAAGGGGGAGGGATGGTGAGGGAGGGGCGTACAGGGTGGAGGGGAATGAAGGGGGAGAAATGGGACAACTGTAATGGCATAATCAATAAAATATATTTTAAAAAAGAATTAAGAGTCTATTCTAAGGTTCTTCCATGATCTCATATTCTTGATTATATACCCGAATAAACCATTATCACAAAAAGTTAATATAAAACAAAACAAACCCTTATTTCTTATTCTTGCCAAGGACCATGTTAAGTGCTTTTCCCACATCATTTCTCTTTATTCCTAAAGGCAACTCAAGGAGTAGAGACTTACTAACCCATTTATCAACAGGGGATGTTAGGTTTAGAATGAAGTAGGCTTAAGTTCCCTTCATTTCCTGACACTTAAATCGCCTTGTAAGTGATAAAAACAAAGTTAGAGGCAACAAGTAGTTTCTTTGGGATTTGTGGTAAAACCCCTGGTTATTTTCTGCACTTATCTGGAGCGTCTTCTGTGTGGGGATCGAGAGCGGCTCCTTCTCCGATCTCTGTCCCGGGACCG